TTGGCAACCAAGTTGATCATGGTGCCTTGGCAATCAAGTAGAATCATAGCATCTGCTTTATGCAGTTAGAATATGCTAAGGAGTAGGTACACCACTTGCTTATATATATAGTGGTTAGCATCTTCTTGTATCTAAGTTGTTATTACAATTTAATATAATCCAAGCGGCCTATTGGCCAAGCTGCCCTCTGGCAGCCCTAGTTCTACTTATGCCGAATTACCTATGATCTGGTGATCTACGCCAACACACTGATGGCAAGGAAGAAACATCCAATATTCAACAAAGTCACTAATGACCGGAAACACATTTGGAAGATACATGACCCTGAGAAAATGAAAATAGTCTTGTGGAGGTTCGCTCATGGTTGTTTACCTAAAAGAAAACAACTTTTATGCTAGCACATGCCTATCCATTGATGCTTGTTGCTTCTGTGAACAAGTAGAAATGGTGGATCACACATTCATCCAATGTCAATACGTGGCAGAAATATGGCGCGAAATGAAGAAATTGTGTGGTATAAATCATAAACTTAAGTCCCTAGTTTCTCCAAAGTGGTAATAGGGATATTTGGCTGATGCATTGATGAAGAAGCAACTATCTTTACTATAATTATCTGGCATATTTGGGATGATAGAAATGGGGAAATATTATTCGTCCGCATCGAATCATTGAAAAATAAAAGTATATATTCAAGTGGTAACACTTTGTGACAGTGTGCCTGATTTTTCCAACAGGTGTGAGCCTAATGCATCTACCAAACGATGAGTTCCACCACTGGAGGATTAGGTTAAGGCAAATGGTGATGATGCTATTTTCGCAAAATCAGAAAAGCATGGGAGCTGGATGTATGATATGGGACCACAATGGAAGTTTCTTAGCTGCAAAACCAAGTTATTTGTAGAGTCTCTGAACCAGAAATGGCTGAAGTTCAAAGCCTTGGCTGTCCTTTGGGCTAAGTTCATCTATGATCAACACTTCGAAAAAGTGGTAATTGCTTCGAACTGTTTAAACTTGGTACGAAAGCTCATGGCAAAAAACTTTGGATAGGTCTCATATAGGAGCAATCGTCCAAGACATCAAGATGATGAGAAACAACTTTTATGAATTTTTTCTGTCTTTGTTAGTCGAAATTGTAATAAGGTAGTTCATGTATTAGCTAAGTCGGCTAACCAGGCAGCGACTTTGTGTGGTGGCCCCAAAGCCGATCCGGTTTTACTTTGTAAGAGCATCTTTAAGAGTCTTTCTAAAATTTACTCTCTAAATCATTATTTGGAGAGTTATCTGAGTAAAAATATTTGTATTTTTCTAGCTTTTGTATATCTTGTGCGTACTCTAAAAAACCATCCTCACTTTTCATCTTTAGGTAGCAAGAAATCGGAAACAATGGAGGTCAATATTTAGAAATCCAATTAAGAGTCAGGATACTTTGTTATCAAAATCTATAACATTTCTATAATAAATTAGAAAGAATATAAAGAGTCCACTGAGGTTGCTATCATTTACGTTAACTTAGGTGTCTGTTTTTTTTAAAAAAAAACATTAACATGAAAATAGTGTAAACCCACATGACAGTTTTTTTTTGGTTACCAAGGCTTTTTTTTTTACAACAGTCACCAAGGCCTTTTGACCTGAGTCCTCGGTACTCCAAGTCCCAGCCAACGGATCTTTTGGCCGCTGTCGTGCTGCTGCAGGGGACACGTCACATACTCACAGGTACCTACATTTTACCAAATTGTCCTATTTTTTTCCCCCTTGAGTGAGAAGCTTCAAGCTCACCCCAGCTTCCCACCTCAGCATCATCGGCTCACTCTCTTCTCCATCCTCTTCTCAGTTGTCTCACCAACTCCCCCAATCCCACCCCAAAGATCCAGTTTCGATCCACGAACCCCCTCCCAATCCTCCGAAGATTGCCGCTTTCAGGCCCCCCGCAATGGCTGCCGGCGGCCTCTTGCGCGCCCTCCTCGTCGCGGCCCTCTGCGCCGCCGCGTGGCGGGCCGAGGCGGCGATCGGGGTGAACTGGGGCACCGTGTCTGACCACCGCGCGCCGCCTGGTGTGGTGGTGGACTTGATGCGCGCGAATCGGATCAGCAAGGTGAAGCTCTTCGACGCCGACCCGGGAGTCCTGCGCGCGCTCGCCGGCAGCGGCATCCAGATCATGGTCGGCGTTACCAACGACGAGCTCGCAAGCATCGCGGGGTCGCAGGCGGCTGCAGACGACTGGGTCGCGCAGAACGTGTCCCGATACGTCGGCCGCGGCGGCGTCGACATCCGGTGAGCCCCAGTCTTTCTCTGGATCTCTCGCATTGCAGCATTGAAGTACAACCTTTTGATTCTTGCTTCCTCAGTCTAAGTGATTGGTTGGGCAAACCTAGGATTTATGTAGTCAATTTACTTGAGTTAGGTATATGTTGTGTCACTTTTTAGCTTTTAGTGGAGTATTCGCTTTGTTGAGCTCCTTCGATTCTTGTGGAGCCGACGATTTACCTTTTGTATGTTTCTTGTTTCGTAGACATGAAGATGAGATGTTTCAGGTATTTCCTATTTGGATGAAACATTTCTAGATGCAGTGCTTTAGTTTATTTAGCTTTAGTGGAAAGTTTTTCCTACATTTGAGCTTTTCTTATATTTGAGCCAATAATAGTTGATTGCTTTGGTGCAGAAGATAATCTTTTCCTTAATGTGGTTGCTTAGATTCGGAGTATTGTAATTCGAATTATAAGAGGAAGCTGGTCCATTTGCTCATCAGCTGTTCAGTTCAGTGTCATTGCTAAGATAAGGTCTAGTTGTTTGAATTTGCAGTGACATATCTGGTTTCATTTATTTATTTTGAGTGTTTATCATAGAATTCAATTTGTACATCTCTATTCTATTTAAGCATTCTTTCTGCTTGTCTTTCAGAGTGCTTCCCTTAGCAATATAGTGTTTCTTTTAGAATGTGTCTGTTGATGGTAAAACGCAAGGGCCCTGAGCTGCTGTCACTTTGAAGCAAGCAATCACTCTATTGTTCTTCATATTGCATACTACATCAAACAAAAATTAAATTTCATCCTTTGAGTTGCCTAACACAAATCATGTTATCCTTTGTTTACACAAAGCGAAACTGACCATTTTAATCCATAGACACCAATAATAGTGTGAGGTTAAGAGTGATGTGCAAATAGTTAATAAAATGTTCTGGGATCATTGCAGAATGTACTGCTCAACAAAACTGGTATAGTTGAGTTTGGGTTAACGATGCTTAGTTGCTTACAGCTTGCAAGTGATTTGTTTTTGTGTGTTCTTTACAAAGTTACATACTTTTTCATCAAATTTCACTTGCAATCATGAATGTGGTGTGTACATACAAGATTGACTCCGAAATGGTTGATCTCTTCGTGGCTACTAACTCTGTATTTTTTTTTACAGATACATTGCTGTGGGCAATGAGCCTTTCCTGACAAGCTACCAGGGTCAATTCCAATCATATATCATTCCAGCAATGACAAATATTCAGCAATCGCTGGTGAAAGCTAATCTAGCTAGCTACGTAAAGCTAGTAGTTCCCTGCAATGCAGATGCATATCAGAGTGCTTCTGTTCCATCTCAAGGGGTATTCAGGACTGAATTGACTCAGATAATGACCCAGCTGGCTGCTTTTCTGAGCTCTAGTGGGGCACCATTCGTCGTCAATATCTACCCATTCCTCAGTCTTTACCAAAGTTCAGATTTCCCACAAGATTATGCCTTCTTCGAGGGATCTACTCACCCAGTAGTAGATGGTCCGAATGTGTACTACAATGCATTTGATGGGAACTTTGACACACTAGTTTCTGCTCTCAGTAAAATTGGCTACGGGAACCTACCTATTGCAATTGGTGAGATAGGTTGGCCAACTGAGGGAGCACCAAGTGCAAACTTAACTGCAGCAAGGGCATTCAATCAAGGGCTTATCAATCGTGTTACAAGCAACAAGGGAACTCCACTCCGACCTGGTGTGCCTCCAGCTGATGTATATCTTTTCAGCCTTCTCGATGAAGAGGGGAAGAGCATACTACCAGGAAACTTTGAGCGGCACTGGGGGATCTTCTCCTTCGATGGGCAAGCCAAATACCCCCTGAATCTTGGGCTGGGAAATTCAGTACTGAAGAATGCCAAAGAGGTTCCTTACCTTCCATCACGCTGGTGTGTCGCAAACCCTGCTCAGAATCTCGACGGCGTTTCAGATCACATGAAGCTTGCTTGCAGCATGGCTGATTGTACCACTCTGTACTACGGAGGTTCATGCTATGGCATCGGGGAGAAGGGCAATGTTTCATATGCTTTCAACAGCTACTATCAGCAGCAGAAGCAGGACCCAAAGAGTTGCGATTTTGGTGGGCTTGGGATGATAACTTACCTTGATCCATCGATGGGCGAGTGCCGCTTTCTTGTTGGTGTTGATGATAGCAAGAACTCTGCAGTCGCCTCTTGTGGCGGTGGATGCTGCGGGGTCTGCTGTGGAATGTGGGTTTTAGCTTTCTGGGTGTTCATGTACCTTAGAATGATGGGTTCTGCTTGATTCTCAAATTGATGTGCTGTGGCATGATGCTTGTGCGCATGTTAGATAGACTGTACACTTGACTTCTAGGTCTAGGTAAGGACTGCACTGTCGCCATGTGAGATTAGGAAATTATGCTTGATATATATAATATTAATTTAATTTATTGTTGAAATGCCCCTTTGCAATTATGCTCATTTCTGAATATCTGTTTACCATCAGTTAGTTCCCGGGGCATATATTAAAGATGTGGTAAATACTCCTTTTGTTGTAGCACCTGATGGAACCAAAGAGATGTTTTATTGCCATGCATGCTGCAGCATATATGATATGATCACAGAAAAGTAGTGGGATACTACAACAACTTTCCAGCTGAGTTTATTCTGTATCATCATAATGTTTATGATCTATGAACAGGCACAGGCCTGAGGATCTTCCTCGAATTCAGCGGGCAGACGGTGGTGGGGTGGGCGGGCAACAGTTGTCACCGCAGTAGGCGTGGCCGCAGGTCACCTTCGGATGCTGCACCAGCCAGCAGCATTGGCATGCTGAAATGAAATGAAATGCATCCATGATCAGTATCAGGATCAGGAAAAGCTGTGAGGTGATGCCAACATGCTAACAGCAGATGAGCATGACTGATGGCCTAACTGCCTGCAAGGTCGTCAGGTACACTCTACTGATGAGAATATCTTAACAGCATCTTTGGTGGCATGTCTAAGTCCCATGAATACCAAGAAATGAATCAATCAATCTATAGTGAAGAGAATATTTTGCACTGACTTACGGTGCAAGCAGCATGAGCCATGCCACAAGGGCGAGGACAGTGTTCTTAATGCGGCTCATGCCTCCCTTTGTGTTGAATCTTCAGATTTTTTCTTGTGAACGGCTGAGATGGTAATGTTGCTATGTGCTGTGTATATAAAGGAGTGGAGGTGACCGCCTATTCAAATTGTGATGAGATGCAGCCGCTTTGCTGGACTACTGTAGTTTATTGGACTGTTGACGCCATCTAGATCTCTCTGTTTTGACTCTTGAGATGGTGGTTTTGATAATTTGTTTCCTAGCTGACGCTCCGTTTCTGCGAATACAACTTTGGTTGTGCTGTGGCCAGATGGATTAAACAGTTGCAAAAATTTCCTGCATATAGCTGGTATCAGCATATCTGGATTTTGTCCTCAGATAAACGAATCAGGTTTTAAATTAAGCAACTTGAACCCGGCAGATTAATTTTGAAGATATCATCAGTAGCAAACAGATATCTGGAAAATTTCATGCTGCTTTCGTTTTCAACATTTTTTTTCTGGGAAAAACCATTTCAACAGCTTAGGCTATACCCAGCAACTCTCCTTTAGTGAGCAATATACCTGTTTGGTGACCCTAGAACCCTTTCAGGGGTTCTGCCATCACAATCAACGAAATATATAGGGTTAAACGAAAGACGCAGGATCTTGCTAGTCTTAAATAGTTGCTAAAGGAAAGAAAAGGTTCCATTAACAATTTTGCCATATTATTTGTACTCAGTAGGTGCACACATGGAACGAACTGGACAGAAATAAGTGAACAAAACTGACAACTCAATACAGATATGAAAAGAAAGGAAGGGAATATTCACACAACTTAATCGGTAGCCGCAGTCTAATATATTTTCACAGCAGTTTAAACCTGTAGAGAAAGCCCCAGCATCATTCATGATCTGCTGGAAGCCTAATGTCTAGGCAGCAAAATTTCTGTGCCGTGAGCCCCTGGGCCTCATGTGATCCGTACGAGTAGAACCACCATGGTAAACATGCAGATCATTACGATAAGCAGAAACCACTGCAAACATGTCGTTTTAGAGGTCAATGAGTAAACCTCCACGGCACGAGCATTAGCATGGCTGCTGCCTGCCAAGCTATGCTCCAAAGCTGTCTCTGTTGAATCGAGTATCTGCAATAACGGTACGTGAACATTCACTGTAAATGTCCAGCCAAGAAGAAAAAGCTAATCAGAATATGTTGTAAAGTAAAATGAGATAGAGAGAGCACGAGTGGCTACTGCACAATTCATCATGTGGCACACAAGGGTTCTGTCTGATATTTCCATGATGGAACCTAAACTTTGACAAAGGGTAAAGTGCAAGTTTGTTCCCACAATGAGGGTGCTGCTCTTGTGAGGACACAAAATCAGTCATAACTAACTGCACCATAGATTTAACATTCAGGAAAAAATTACAGAATGCTAAATGATATGTTTGTTTGCTCAGTTTTATCAGGTGACAAAAAAAAGTGACATGAGAGTATAAAAAAAAAGGTGTACCTTCTCCATCTCCTGCATAGATCGGTTCATTATAAGACTGCTCTTATTTAGTTGGTGTGCTAATTCAACCATTTCATCAATCAAACCTTCTTGCAGCAGTCTGCATATACAGAGGTGAAATGGTATGTACAATCAATGTCATTCATCCATTTATGTAATGCAAGCCTAAACGCTTCACTGCAAAGGGTGCTCGTTCGGGAAAGATAAAAATGGAAATTCAGTTTGTGAAACAAGAAACATCCGAACGATACACAGCCTCTGCAACATTATTCATGAGAACAGTTGTAGGGTATGATTGATTAATCAATCTTTCTAAATCTAATCCGGGTTCATTGGAACCATATAATCCCATACCCAGAACTCCAATTAAGAAAATTGAAGAGACTGAAAAATAGGTATGCCAATAGGAAAAAAATAAAAAAATTCAAACCACTAGGCATAATACAAAAAGACCAGGTAAATAAGTGTTGAGAGTGCGGTATTGGCCGAATGGCGACTTGCTGCAGGTGCAGGAACGACCGGGCATATCATATACATGGCGTAGTATTGTGAGAGGTATTAAAGCATTGGAGAAAGGCTTGATTTGGAGGGTGGGTGACGGACAGCAAATACGGATTTGGGAGGATCCATGGCTACCAGCAGGCATCACCAGAAGGCTGAGAACACCAAGAGGAACGGTGTTGCTGAACAAGGCATCTGAGTTGATGGATCCAATCACAGGAGGATGGGGCACGCAGCTGGTCAAGGATATTTTTTGGGAAGAGGATGCTAATCTCATTCTGGCCATACCTACTCAGACGGATCAGGAGGATTTAGTGGCGTGGCACTTTGATCCTAAAGGGAAATTCTCAGTTAAATCTACCTATCACGTGCTGGCCGATGATGCGGAGAGGGGAAGGGACAGACAAACCGGTGAATCCTCTTCAAGTCCGATTGTGAAAGATGATCAGCTTTGTTGGAAGAAGATTTGGCGACTGGAGGTCTCCCCAAAAGCTAGGCAGTTCGTTTGGAGAATAGCGCACAATAGCTTGGCGGTGAAAATGAATTTAAAGAAGAGGGGAATGAGACCTGATACTAGATGCCCAGTGTGCTGGCGAGTTGATGAGGATGGTGGCCATTGCTTCTTGAAATGTAAGGCAGTGTACAAGTGTTGGAGGGAGCTCCAGCTTGAGGGCACTCGCACGATTCTGATGCAGGCTCACTCGGCCAAGGAATTTGTCAGTGATATCCTGAAACTTGAGCAGCGCACAAAAACCATGGTGGTGATCCTTCTCTGCAAGTGGTGGGTGGAGAGGAATCGGGTCAATGCTGGCGAGGCCCAACGCCCTAGCAGCGAAATTGAGCGGGCAGTGCTCAGTTACTCAACAGCACGTGAGTTAAGCAGGAGTATTCCAAGCACAGTGGAGAGGACTGAACCTGCATGGAAACCTCCTGAGACAGGCTGGTTGAAGGCGAATTTTGATGGTGCATACGAGGCCGAGAATAAAGCTAGTGCTTGGGGATTTGTTGTGAGAGATGAAGAGGGGAGAATGGTTTTAGTGGGGGCCGGCATGTGAGTCCAGTACACAATGCTCTAATGGCTGAAGCTATGGTGTATGTTAAAGCAGTGGAAGCCATTCAGGGAAACGGCATTTCCAGGATCCACGTGGAGACTGATTCTGGTCAGCTTCGAGAAGCTCTGTAGTCCAATGTCCGCGACCTGGAGCCGAGCGGGATGCTCTTTATGTACCTCTGTGATTTCCTCAATGATCGTTTTGATAGGCATATAGTTTCTAATGTGTCACGCTCTTGTAACTCGTTTGCGCACGACATTGCCAAATTAGGCTTAGCCTGGGAGCCAGGCCAATCGATGATTTGGCTTGATGACTTACCTGACTCTGTAATGAACATGGTCACTTGCGATCGTGCTGAGCTATCAGTAATGAATATAAGGCCATAGTGCCGTGGTTGAGACTCAAAAAAAAAAGAGAGAGAGAGAGAGAGAGAGAGAGAGATGATGGTTAACATGAAAATCAACCAATTTTGAAGGTACCTTAAATAAGAGATGATGATTAACATGAAAATCAACCAATTTTAAAGGTACCTATGTTTGTCAATTCGAGCCTGAGCTGCTGCATCCAACCTAATAGGTGCTCCAGCATCTCTTTCTTTCTCACTGACGATTTGTTCAGCCTCCACTTGAGAACCACTTAATAAAAAATTCATAAGAATTACATGGATCTACCATAAGGAAAAGGATCTGTTGCAATTTTTCACATGCATGTGAACATAGTTAACTTACATCAATCTCCTCCTTAATCCTGAGGATAAGACAGTTGGACTTCCAACGTCGTGCCCTTTAGGACTGTGTCCTTTGATTTCATTAACTGCTTTTGCATCATCTGGCTAAACCAGTACAAATATAGTTATGTGAAGTGTTGATATGTGTGCTGCAAATCATGAATCATACTTCTGCATCTAAACAACAGGGCACCTAAATATTGATAACTTACAACCGCAATACCAAACAACACTCTATAACAGCGGAATACTACATAATATTTACTCATGGTATAAAAACAGAAACATTCTAAGCACTAAACTTGGTGTGCAGTGTACACTCTATGCACCCCATATCTATCGAAGTGAACGATATTGATAATAGAACTTAAATAAGTATTCGTTACATACTAACATTTCATGAAGGTATAATATTACTAAGAATTTGATCATTAATCAACTTTATAATCTTTATGACAGTATGATAGTTCTAGCCAAGGATATATTTTCGAATAAGATGTAACACCCCAGCCTTAACTGGGACCTTGAATTTGATTACTTCCTTCAATACCTTCCTCAAAATGTTATTAGGAAAATTCTAATAACAATTTTAACATGAAACTTAAAAGGTATGGCAGGAATTAATTTGTATAAGACTAGTGGTTGATTTGCACAAACATAATATAATAAATTCAAAATCGCAAGAAGGCAAGAACAACTCCATAAACACCCATCCATATAGATGTAGTCCATCAGATAACCAACCAATGAAAAATAGCAATGCACATTTTGTGGGGCCTCGAGGAGACCTGGTAGGGCTAGGGTTCCTACCGGAGTTGCTGCGGAGATTGTAGGGATGGAAGAGAGGAGGGCGAGGGCCAGGGAAGTGGCGGCAGCGAGTTGGCGCCGTGATGTCTCACGGCGCTGGGAGAGAGAGACGGCTAGGGCTCCCTGGGGAAGCCGCAACTAAATTGTTGCTTCTGCTTAATTCCTTCAATAATGCTTACAAGATATATATATATCCCCTCTATGAGTCCCTATTTTAAGAAATAAATAACCTATTTGGGGAAAATAGCAAATAATGAAATAACAAGGATAACTGGGCTATTAGCCCATCTAATCTAGGCGCCACCTAGCCACCTATGTGCCGGCGCCTGGTATACTGGACGCCAGTCATAACAAGACCCAAGTTCATACTTTATACAGCAGTCAGACAACAGGATAACGAAAAATCATACCACTTCAGGAGCAAGCATTGCAGCAAGTTCTTCAATCTTGTCTGAATACTCATTCAGTTTTGCTTTTGAAACACTGAGTCAACAGGAATTCACGAATTAACAAATGTTCAGAGTTGCAGTAATAACACGAGTGATGACCAAAATACCAGATGTAAAAAATCACTACTCTGGTGAAGAAAATGCTAGAAAGTATTTTAATTATTTTGAATAAACAGGTGAAGAAAATGCTAGAAAGTTTGGTTAATCCAAAGCATGCTATCTATTAAAGGACAAAAAACAAAATATACAATTCTAGAGTCTGCACAAGCCTATTATGCTTGCAAAGTGAGCAAGTACATTAAAGCAAACATAAGACAAAAGAAAATAAGTCAAAAAAAAAAAAGACAAAAGAAAATATCTACCATATTTAACACTTAAAAAATGTGAGGTACCAAAATAATAAAATTGAATATATAGCCCCTTATTTTGGTATCAACAGAATGAACATTTTAAAGGGGATCAATAAGTCGATGAACTGCACTAGAAAAAATATTGATTAATTTACTCATCATTCAGCACTGTTTACTGAGTCCTTGCTTGAAATATTATTATGAAGTATCCCTGGTGGCGACACCTCATTCATCAGCACACAAATTCAATTGTTCTAGAATACAGTAATACACCATTAGTGAATATTAGAAGCCAGTTAATTTGTTAAAAATAGAGTTTCATTCTACTTCTTTGATTGATCCTGGAATATAGGTTGCCACCTAATGCATTGGTTGATGAATCAGTGCAAGATAGGAATGGATTAACAGACAGGTTAGCAACTTACTTAAAAGTTGCACGCAGCCTTTAAGGACTACAGTGTAGGAGAATGATTAATGTACATCAAGTAATAACTAATCAGAACTAACAAATAGCGGCTAAATTGGGCCAATGGCCAACGAATAGCATCATACTGATGCTAGCATTCTCGATCTTCGACTAATACAAGCTTGGTGACAGATTGTAAGCAGTCAACATGTAGGGCAAGGGACAAAACATATTAGCTAGCCAATAGTTGATACCCCTGTAGTGCTTCTATTAGAGTAGGTGGGTTACAGTCCATCCAAATTCATAAATACCTTGACATCCCTTCTGTAGTTTCTGCTGCCAGCTGCTCTAACAGTCCCTGGGATGTGGTGATATACTGCAAATAAGGGCTACAAATGCTAAGAGAATAACCAAATTGAATGTGGTAAAAAGGACACCATTCGGGGTCATAAGTTACAAATTAACAAGCCATTGGAAGGGTTGGTATCTCATCCAATAAATCAGCAAATAATTCAAGATGTGATTGTAATTTTCACTGGAAAATGGCCCCACATTTCCTTAACTATTTGTATAAATCATGGTGTCATCTAGTTCAAATTGGCCATGCAATTCCAAATTACTTGTATGGAAAGGGCAAAAGGATCAGGTCATCTGACATAAGCTTGTTACTAATCTAGGGAAACCTGTGCTTACATGGATGAGCTTAGCCTGGTTCCGCTGCCGCGGAGCCGAATCAAGCAACCTTAGCAAATTAACTTCAGTCCTGCTGATCCCCATCGCAGAACAACTGGCAAAAAATAGTCAACTGTTAACTACCAATCATATATACTATTTGGGTTGCATAAGAACATTAGCTACAAGAAACCACAATTGAAGATAGCGGCCTTAGCCTCGCCGGGAAAGAGCAATGTATAGTATTAGTAAAACCAAACTTTTTTTCCCCGATTTTCCTAATATAAGAGATCAGGGACGGACCCTGAGGGCATCTGTACACATGAAAACCCGATAATTTTTGCCGAAAAATAAATGAAGTTAGTAGGATAGGGTTTAGATCAGACCCGAATACAAATAGCTTAAGTTGGAGGAACAGAAGGGGTAGGCGTACCTGATGAGTGCTCGTGACCGGCAAAGGGCTGGAAGAAGACCTGGGCACCTGGCTGGCGTACGGCGGCGGTGGCGGTCGCCGAGCCCTCACCAGAGGGAGGGAGCGGACGGGAGAACAAAATGCATTCTTAATTTCACTTTATAAAAGATCACACAAAATTATCTTCACTCTTAGGGCATGTTTCACATAACTCTAGAGTAGCTTCCAGGCAAACGCCAAAAAAAAGAGAAACCTCAAGGTGGATTTGGCAGCAAGGAACGTTTACAATTCTCAGTAAAATTACTGGAACACAAAAAAAAAACATTTTAGAGAGCATCACGTAGAACCGATTCTCGCTTCTGTCGAGACAAACACCCAAAGTTTGGTTCTTCTAATTCTAGTTTTAGTTTCAAGAATATAATAAGTTAGTCAAACAGTTTCATGAACTAATTCTTAGTTGAGAGATGTTTCTAACACATTTTTAGGAGAATCCATATCTCTGCCAAACGCACCTTTTAGGAAGAGTTTTGCCAAATAATATTTTTACTAACAAGTCAATGTGTGCTAATTCTGAGGAGTCAGTGACGGATTTAGAAGAATAAATCAAGACCTGGCTTATCTCGTGATCTTTCGTCCCTAGCCTTTTCTTCAAAGCTTGAATCTCCTACAACTAAAAAACAAAGTATAGATATTTTTTTATATGACATTTGTTTTGGTTCGTTCGTCTGCCCACGTCTGTGATCCCACGATATCTTAATTACTGATTGATCGTGTCATTTTTCTTGATTGAATATTGTCTGTCATGTGATAGAGGAATCACAGCAAAATAGGAAGTAGAAAATTATTGTGCTATCCATATACACATTGCATGTTTGCATGCACCAGCATACATGGCAACAAGCAAAAGGAAAAAGAATTAACACAGAAGAAAAGAGAATTAAGATAAAAGTAACATTTTTGCATTTCTGAGAACCTTGCCAAATCTGCCTACATTTAATTACTTTCTCTCTTTGCATTTACAAAAGGATAGCTTTTTTTTCCTTTCATTTGGTTTCACGCTCACGTGTTTCATCGTCCTCGCTTACTGTTTCTTGCGTAAACCATAGTTGATGTCATCTGTCTTATATGGCTCAGCCTCCCAATCCTAAGAGGAGGTCCCTACCTCCCTGACTGGAGATCCGGTCTGCTAGAGGATCTCCTCGAGTCCATCGGGCAGCGTCTCGCTTCAGGCCACGACGCGGCGTCCTTCCGATCCGCTTGCTCCCCATGGCGCGCCGCCGTCCTGTTCGCGACCTTCGGGCCGCTCCTACGCTCCCGTTCGACCCCGACTCGGACCGCGTCGGCTTCTACTGCGTCCCGGAGAAGAAGGTCTTGTCCAAGACGCTGCCCGACGTGCGCGGCAAGGTGGCGTCGCGGCTCCTCGTGGGTGGTGGTGGCGCTCATGGGCGGCGGCGTCCGTGACGCCATCGAATCCATTCGCCGGTGCCGTGCCCCCGCGTTAAGCTCCTGCCAGCAGGCGAACACGTCGCGGCAGCGTCCTCATCGGAACACGTGTCTAGGGTCCACGGCCGGTGGATCCTCCATCCCACCAACGGCTACGGGGACGCGGATGCCGCAGGCAGAACCATCAAGCTAAAAGACATGAGGGACGTGTTCTTCCGTGAGATCATGCTCTCGGCGCCGCCTGACGCCGCCGGCCGCGAGTGCGTGGCCATGGCCATGCTTGGGTGCTCCACGGAGGTCGCGTTCAGTCAGGTTGGAGTCGACAGCGCATGGACGCTGCTCGACACCAAACTAGAATTCTCCATGGGGTCCATCGTCCACTGCCAAGACAAGTTCTTGGCGATCGATCGCACTAGAGAAATCTCCGTCTAGCAAGAAGAACGCCGTCGGCGCTTCTCCAACCAAGCGACTTTGTTATTATCATTTGCCGCCACCTACGGGCTCGCCACCGCAGCTACCTAGAATCAAACGGTGAGATGCACATTGTGGGTGCCATGATGAGCACGTTCCACGAGACACAGAGCTTCACCTACAGCAGCGTGATCTACAAGTGCAACATCCACGACCGTACGCCGGAGTGGTCCAGAGTGAGGGACATCGGTGATCAGACATTGTTCGTGTCTAAACATTTCAATGAAAGCTTCAGTGGAACAAGTGTATCCAAGTACAAGAAGAATAAAATCTACATGTCTGAGCTATTATATGGGGATCCATACGACTTAGTCTATCGATTGAAGATCGTTGATATTGCTACCGGCGCATCCGAAGTGAAGCCCGTCCAGAAAAAGATGCAGGGTTCCGAGGCTCTAGGTTTGATTCGACCCAATCTCTGGAAGCTCTAGAGTTTGTGAGCCTGCGACGCCGCGCACTCCGTGACTGTGTTAAATTCATAAACTTTGTTTTTTTGGATTAAATATCACTTTAACGTTGGTATTTAATTTAACAGTATTGTTATCTTATCGTGCGATCCGTGTGTATTTTTAGTATAAATTGTTAGTTATCCCGTAGCAACGCACGGGCACGCTACCTAGTAGATCTAAATTTGTAGGAGGGGCTTAGGAGGGGCTCCATGGTCCGAACAAAAGATAGCGGGGCTCGACCCCACCCGCCCCAGTGCTGAATCCGTCCCTGTGAGGAAGGATTCCCTAAAATGAATAGAGTTTATCTTAGAAAATCATAGAGTAACATTTTTAATTAAAAATCAGTTTTCACGTAGGATTTGGAACAAGAAAATCCCTACCAAACAGACTATTAATTTCTTTTATGATAGGTCATCATTCCCTGGAAATCAATATTATCTTAACGACACTTTCAATACAAATCTATTGATATATATTTTATATTTTAAACCTGTATATATATTTGACTTATATTGGAATTTAAAGTTCATAAAATTTGATTTTTTTCCCCGGATGGATGGAGTGGTGCCAAATGGCAAGTAATTTAAGTAGCGGCACGCCCAAAATAAGAATTTTATAGAGTGTTGAGTTAACAAAATAGGAAATAGAATTTGAAGAAAAAAAGTTCAAAAAGAAAATGTGTGGAAAGTGGTAGCAAAGACAAAGAGGATATGAAAAAGATACAACAAAGGCAAAAGAGAAGAGAAGTGCCAAGAAACAAAGCCAAATGTTCTCGTCTAATCACAACAAGATTAGTGGTCCTTGCCTATGCCATTAATGCATATATCATGAAATCCATCTTTTGATATATTTGACTATCCTCATATCCTTATTTTGGTCCTTGGATGATAAGAGTATTTACTAATAAATATGCACGTGTGCTGCAATAGAACCCAATATGTCTTGGCATTCGACTTCCTATCATCATTGGATGCGGGTCGTTCTAACTCGTACGAGCATTGGTCACAAGTCCAGATCATATGCAGGACACGGAGGGCACAGAGGTATTTTGAGAATCAAAAAATGGGTTAGAAGAAATCATTCACTCTTTAATATTAGGGAGTGATATCTCTAGGGGTTATCAAATTGTTTTTTTCTAGTGATTAATTGCAACAGATATTGTCATGTCATTAATTTCAATACCCGAAGAAAATTTGAAGTGCTAGAGATAATTTTGCTTTATCATTCATCTTATGCTTTAGCATTTGTATTGGCCACACATACACATGGATGCATCAGTTCTGGCGATAGTATATATTATCGTTCTTAGCGATATATAAGGTTGATGAATGCTCAGGTTGATGAATGCTCAGGATCATTGTCCTAAAGTAGTGATCCCCAGCATAGAATTAATTAAGATCACATTGTGGGCTTTAATGCTTTGGGGGATATTTTCAAGTAGAGCAAATCTCCCCTTGGATGTTATATTTAAGGAAATGGCTTACAGATACAGTGAAAACATTAGTTATAGTTTTATTGATTTTAATCAAGCTGTTTTGTGGCCTCAAGCCGATTGGAATATTTTTGTAATTAAAATCAAGTTGAATATGAAGCTTTTGCATTTAGGCTAGAAATTTTAGAATCTATGGGTGTGAAACATGTTTGGATGAATTACTAAATGTCTGTCTTGATAAATGCCTAGATGATGTATTTGATACGAGTTGTTATATGTCATACCTAGGCATAAGAGTCTGGAGCTACTAGGACAGTAGGCATCTGGTTACAACATTGGAAAATGGATATTTCAATATCATAAAAAAAACAATGGTTGAGTTTGTGAAGCATATGCTCTGGAAAGAGCGGAACAGTCGTTTTCACAAAATAGGCATAGCCAGATTTTGTCATGCATGTATCAGATACGCCAAGAACCAGCTTGTCTTGATTTCAAAATCGCCTTTGCTAGTTTACCTACAAGACAAAATTAGTAATTTGAAAGAAAAGTCAAGAAACCACATCATCAATACCTCAAAGAGTAAAGGTATCCTTGCTATTTGCCAAATAATTGTACCATACTCATCCTTTGAGACACTTAAATTATTGTATTGGGTATTACTTTAAGAGATTTGCCTCACTCAGCTGATGATCATAGTAACATGTGGATGCTATTTTGAGCCATTTTGTTTGCCGCATCATGCTAAAATGTTGGAGGCATTGCAAGGACCAATTGTGGTTGATAGCAGTTCGGTTGCTCTATGTATCTACTGGTATTTAACAATGTGAGAGACTTTGTTGAGCAGCATTCCATGTATTTACAGTTGAGGTGGTATGTACTTAGACTTATCTCTCACACA